AGAGAGAGAGAGAGAGAGAGAGAGAGAGAGAGAGGAGAATAAAATCTGAGGTCAAAAAGGAAACGAAACAAAGCTTTTCTTACCTCCATAGTAGCGATGCTAAACCGGTATTCCAGACAGATAAAAAATGATTAACTTAGAAAAGCTTTAGCAAGTACTAATGTGTAGTCCATAAACGATGTCAAGAATTCTCTCAGCACCCTGTCCTCCGCTCACTCCGACCTCGTACCCAGTTCTGTACGTTACTCACTCTCGCTCTGAAGGATGCTATGAAATGGTCTGCTACGTCTACAGAGTAAAAACATGGATCAGCGCCATCTGTTGGAATAATGCGGTCAATACACTTTTTTCCGTTCACATCTAATTCTCTCCAATATTACCAAGGTTTATAGAAGTATGAATTTCAGTTTGAAATAATCTTACTTGATGATATTTCATTTTTTTAAAATATAATCTCAGTTGCCAGGAAAATATTTCTGATGTAGTAGAGACAATTAAAATTTACAACATTCTTGACTTATCCATGTTTTACCATATTTACCGAGAATAGTTTCACAATGGCTGACAGGCCAACAGAGGTAAACTCATAAATCGCAATTTATTAGGGGAAATGCTCTTGCAATTTTTAGTTTTAGTCATTAAAACTACATTAATAGATCTAGTAAATAGTGAAACTTTGGTTTTGATATCGATTATGTAAAAAGCATTCTTTGACATCTCTCTATAAGATCTCTTTATTTCTCTTTCTCTCTCTCTCCTACTCTTGAGTCTTGAGCAATCGCGGCGCGGCTTATAAGTTATACCTGCCTTGACCCCTCTGTTATGTTAAAATAGATCTAGATCTAGATCTAGATCTAATCCTGTCCGTAGTTTCTTTTCTTTTGACTTTTTCTACAAGGTTTGATTTCTCATTTAAGATTCGGTAATTTTTATCACCACAAGTGCACGCTGATGGCAATTGACACTAGATCTACCAATTGAAAAACATTGAATTATGTGAAAATAATAAAAATTAGATCTAGATTAGAAATCTAGAATCTTGATCTAGAATCTAGATCTACATCTAGATCTAGATCTACATCTAGAATCTAGAATCTAATGTAGATCTAGATTTCTAGATCTAGATCTAGATTTAGATCTAGAAATCTAGATCTATGTTCAAAATCATCAAGTATGAATCTCCAAAATCAAGGTAAATGAGGCCGTGGAGATATATACAGTCAAACCTGTGTAAGACGGCCACCCATTGTCAAGGAGAAAAGTGGCCGCATAAGACAGGTGGCCGTCTTAGGCAGGACTGATCAAGATGAGGAAAAAAAACATTCCCATCTGAGGTCCCAATTGAAAGTAGCCGCATTGTTGTTGTTTTGTTGTTGTTGGTTTGTATTTTGTTTTTTAATTTTTATTTTGTTGCTGATTTTGCACAAGGGTGACAATAAAACGAATCAGACAAGGAAGACCGAGTGCCATATTAAAACAAACACATGGGTCGCCACCACTCGGAGAACGAGCGACACGTCTCTCACAAGTCCATGTTGGCGTCCTTAATTTTGTTACTTTGTTACAGACTGGATAAACAATGACCACTCATCTCACTTACGATTTGTGTGTTTGAGTTCTGGGCGGGGCTTATGGGTTATGAGGGATTACACGTTCACCTCACCAGCAACTGAAAATTTGTTACCTATAGGCCTATTGGTCAATAGTGGGAGGGGCCTACCCAACATGATTGGTTGGAGGGACTACCTAACAACAACAACAACAGGTGATTGAATTATGACGGCTCGCCCACAACGCCAGGGGCCAGTGCACAATTCATGACAAAACGTATTGGAGTCACTAAGGCGGCCGTCTAAGACAGGTGTTATAATTGCTTAGTGGGATAGGGGTTGTGTGTTAAATTGTGGTGGCCGCGGCCGCGTTGGACAGATTGTCCATTTTACACAGTTAAATTATATAGAAAAAACGCAAGGGGGGACATGGAAAGTGGCCGTTTGTACAGGTGGCCATCTTATAGAGGTGGCCGTCAGGGCAGGTTTGACTGTATACTTGTTGATGATCTTGATATTTTATATTACCCACAAAAACAATGAAGAACACTTCTTTTTTAGCCTCAGTTGATGGAAGAAATAATTAGTTCATCATTATTAGGGTAGAAAAGGTTGGGGTAACTTCGACAGGTTTATGCAGTGCAGCAAAAGTAACAGCTAGGTACTGCTCCTGTCTTTATGAAAGCACACTGACCATCTTAATGGTATCGTTGTGTCAAGCAGCCATTCTACTTCTCGATTATTATATCTTTACTCTATTTTCATTCCGAATTTTCAACCAGTCACGATTTTGTGGTATACCCTCACTTGGATCAACTTCGACCGTGGTTGGTCCAAATGCGAACCGCGCATGGGACAACTTCGACATAGGCTGTGACAGTACTGACAGGACCTGTGGGCAACTTCGACAGGGGGCGGATATCTTCAACAGTAGGCCCTTGGGTTCTGATTCAACTTATTGTGCCCTCCCCCTTTCTCCCTCTTTCTGTCTCTTTCTCAACTTTTCTCTGTTGAATTTTGTGTCTATCTCTCTCTCCCCCTCTCCTACTTCTCTTTCCTCACTGCCCCCTCTCCCTCACTCTCCGAGCGCGCAGACAAACGAAGACATGCACTCACATCATAGGCCTACGTGCACACACACACACACACTCTCTCTCTCTCTCTCTCTCTCTCTCTCTCTCTCTCTCTCTCTCTCATACACACACACACACACTAAGCTCCTAAAATGATACAGTTGAGCAGTACAGTCTTGTCTAAATTTCTACTAGTTTGTATCTGACCAGTCAAGGATTTCGACCCAAGACAAAAAATGATAATACAAACAAGATTAAACATTAATGTGATAGTTTATTAAAGTTGATTCTGCTTAGGAAACTGTAATTTCCAAATTGGCCCACCCCCTGTCGAAGTTGCCCCGTTTCGCCCTGTCGAATTTGCACCAACCACCAAAATCTCATTCCATCATTTTAAATTAGGTACCACAAACTGAAATTTCAAAGTCCTCTGATTTCATAGTTAACTGCACTACCTTATAGAATTTATCATTCTGAGCATTTTGAAACCAAATTTATACATATAGTTTCATTTTATAATGGCTGTGTTATTCTTGAAGAGGAATGCCGATATATTTGCGTAGTCAGTCCGATCTCTGGTTCCATAAAAAAACAGCACTGACAGTTTTCACACGCAAATCTCTACTATTAATTCTTTAAGGACAGTCTTTAGAAATATATCATCGGAAAGAGCGTCTTCTCATCTTGAAATATGGACGAATCAGAATGCAGTATTTAATGCCATACGCTCCCCGTTACTGTTCAACCGAGGTCACTGTAAAAATCAATACACGAAACGCGCGGCCGCTGCAGTGAAAACCTCGGTAGTGTTGCCTTTTATCCCTCAAGATCTTGCTTTCAAAAGAATCGCTGATTCAAATAAATAATACCACTAAAAAGAGGAAAAGCTCCTCTTTCTTGTGATATCAAGTGACTGTGTGTATGCATGTTCACACGGTGTTTTAGGAGGGTAAAAATATGGGTTTTGGTCTCCATGACAGTGCGCCATAGGGGCGCACGGCCAGTTTGCAGTACCTAATTTTAAATAAATCATGTTAATTCCTATAATCAACATTTGTAGTTCTAGATGGATTTAAATGAACCTAAGGATACCAAAGTTTTAGATCTAGCACTGAAAAATATTCATAAAGTAACAGAGCAATGACAATTTCAGTCCATTTTATCAATAAAGTTATGCCTATCAATATTCCAAAGAAGAGTCCTACTTTTTTTTAGTAAGCAAAATACCGATACACTTTGTTTTGTAAAAGTACTACTCTAAGGCATCGAATTAACCGGGGGTAGGAATTAACGGAGGGTGTGGACAAGTGGTCCAAAATTAATAAACGGGGGTGGGACGGGAGCACGTTCAACCTCCTACCTCTGTACTAATAGGAACAAGCCAATCTGTTTTATTTGAACAAGACATAATGAAATTTTAGTGATTTAAGTAAGTTACTGTGACTACATTTCCCATTTAGGAACAAACCAGTTTCATTAAAAAAATATAAACCAATGTACAAAAGTTAAAACAATGCAGAGAAAATTGAGGTAGCCAACCCGGTACCGGTAGTAATACTGAGGATAATTTGCCACTTACGAAAAAAAAAAGTTTCATTAAGGTGTCTGGATTCTATATATAATGTTTCACATTGTCGTCGTTCGTGGCAAGCTGGAAAATAATAGATGGGGGGGTATGTAATAAGGAGCGGGGGGTGCAAAAAAACTTTTAAAAATGAAAATTAATAAGCAAGAGGGGAGACTTATTCTATACTTTAGAACTTTAGAGTAAGACTGGTATCTAGGCTGTAATTTGGATATCACGATAAAACAAAGTCACATAAACGTGGAAGTCGTGTTTTATAAACTGAATCAAAATTCATAATTTTTGGTGAAAACTCTTGACCTGGAAGTCAACGTTATATTATAGGCCTAACCTTTATTTTAAGATCATGGATATGTGGATTGGAATCAAATCTAAGCTAGAATTATTGGCTGGTTCTCCTGCCGTCTGGGGCGGCTTGCCTTAGTGAAGTCACTTTAGCCGCGCCGCTGCCCACGGCTTGGTGTAGCGAATGAGTGAAACATGAACGAATTTTTTATCATCTAATCACAATTCTAGCTAAGCCTATGCATAGATATTTCTATCTTGATGTGAAGAAAGTCACTGGTAAATTGTTAATGTAAAAATGTCATCTCCATACACCCATATTCTTTATCTATTTTTCCGAAGGATGTTGACCAAACTGAGACAAAAGTACCAGTTGGGTCTATTCCAAGCGATGCACCCAGCCTCCCTAGTGTTGCTGCTCCCCCTTCAAAGCCGAGACCAAAGAAAGGTAAATTTTGCAGCTGTCGTTTAAGAATACTACAGAACTTGTACCCTTTGTAAAGAGCTAATCAAGAGTCACAGAACTTATTCAGTCTGTCTGTCCATTTTTTTTGTCCAGTAAAACTGCTCGTGATCAGGTGTAGGAAGGAAGTACTGTTAACACTATCCATACTTTGTGTTTTACTGTCGTATCCATATGATATGGGGAACCCTGTGCCCCCACTTTCCAAAGAGGAAATTTACTCATTAATCCGATCCGTACGCTTTGTACAGCAGTCTGTCAAAATGATTTTTTGAAAATTACTGAAAGTTTCAAAGAGATCTTCGCACTAAAAACTGTGAAGAATACAACCCCTGGGGTACAAAATGACCCCAGGTGCTCGGATCGTGTTAAATTCACTGACTGCACAGCACCAGCACTTTTCCTGTAGTTGTTCCAAGTGTACTGGTTGTCTCAATGATACAATTTTTTTGAAGATGACGAGTCTTTATTTATACATTATTACTTCATTGACATTTTTCGATTAGTAATTATTTGTCTTCACCAATCACAAATGTATGTTACAATGATTTAAAATTGAAGCAGTTTCTTCATTATGAGTTTCAATATCCTTTTTTCCCTTTACAGCACCCGATATTCCAGTGTTTGAGCGTCGTAATTGGCTGATTCATCTGCACTATGTGCGGAAGGAATTTGAAACCTGCAAAAACATTGTTCGTGAGCAGCTCTCTGAAGCTGGTGGCATGTGTGAATATGCTGTATATGTGCAAGGTAAAGAGTAGCTTTTTTTATTTTTATTTATTTATTTATTTTTTTTTTTTTTTGAGTTTTTAAATTGTTTTTTTTTCTTTTTTCTCATTTTGGTAGACTTTTATTTTTCGTCAAGCGTTTTGTAATAATTGTAGGCTTATTATGCAACAACAGCAAAAATACATAAAAGCCTTTTAATAATATGAAACTCCTTTATTTTCCCTAAATAGTTTGGAAGAAATAAATCCCTATAATGTTTCAGTGAAGTTGTAGCACAGTTGTTCATTGACACGAAAGAAAACATCAGGTTTTGTGAATTTTATAGTCTCTGTGCTATACCTCCATCATTCAAAGTTTCCACGGAAGACGAAATACAAGCGTTTGTAATGTAAGCTATGTAGTGTTCATTCATTAGGGAAGGGGAATTCTAGAAATGATATACGTCTGCTTTCTCTCAGTAGTTATGTAAGTGCTTGTGTGTTGAGGTGCATGTGGGTGTGTGTTTAACAAACAAAAAGACAGACAGACAGACAGGCATACGGAAGTGTAAGAGTAGATGGGGGAGGCAGAATGAGTATTAGTTATGTAATGGTAATAGTAGGCTAAGAGTCATGGAAATGGATGTACAGATCAGTGGGAAGACGTGGAGTGATATCAAGCGACTAGCCCAGGATAGGGAAAGGTGGAGAGTGTTTGTTCGTGGCCTATATCCTGACCCAGGGTGAGAAAGGCAATGATGAATAGTAGGCTAGTGACAGTGAAGATTCCAGGGAGAACCTTCACTTTGACACGAAAGAAAATTGATTCCAGCATACTTGAGGGTAAGGAGAGATTCATGATAACAGCTAATTTTTTAAAAATTCCATCACGAAATTTTTCAATTTTTGTTTATTTATTTTTACAAAAAATATTTTTACATTTATCCGGAAGGCTTGATTCTACGCCAAGAAGGAAAGATACAAGAGTCTTTGGACATGTTTCAAACATGTGCTCTGCTCAACCCTCAGAATGCCGAAAATTTGAAACAAGTGGCCAGGTCATTGTGAGTAATCTCCCCCACCTGTTTTCCTCACCTGAATGTGTGCACTTTATTGTAATTACTGTGGCCTTTTAATACAAACATAGGGGGGAATTTAGCACTTTGCAGTCCCTTGGCGCAATTATTCGTCAGTGAAAATTATCCGTTCCGGTCACCTGCGCCAGGCTCGAGAAGTCCGTTGTACTCACTCTCCTGGCTGGGTGATCAGATGGGGTATTTTGTACTGCTGGCTGTGTGACTGCAAAGTGTTAATAAAGTGTAATGGGTAGCAATAACCGTCACACCAATAAAAGAGGAAGGAGCCAACTTATTTCCTTTTAACATGTGTCTCGAGAAAACTGTCCTAAGTTCATTCTACCTCTTTTGTATCTCAGATTTTTTTTTTCCTATTATTATGTTCTATCTTTCGGTACAGTTTCAGCTTTGTCTGCGTACGTATCGTATTTACTTATTTCCAGATGCTGTCCATACATTTGCATTCTCTAGACTCTTTTCATCAGCTGTAAAGTCTTTGCCTGACTCCTTGTACACTCACAGTGTCTATGTCTTTGGAAGACTTGTCTTCTCTCGACTGACTTTGCTGTAGTACGTTTCACTTCAGCTTGTCTTTCCCTCTATGTCCTTTTGGGTGTCTTGGACCTTTATTTGGATATTTGTGAGGCAGCGTGGTGAAATCAGGCTCTCGTCAAAATAATCAAAGTGAAGAAACTTGCATTTTTCCGCAGGTTTGTGAATTTTTACCAAATTTTTGTTTTTTGGCCCAACACCTTTCATGCCCATTGAAGAACTCATTTCTGTGTGGATTTTTCTGAAAAACATTGATCAAAGGCAAAAAAAAATTTAATTTTCAGTTACCACGGACTCTAAAGCTAAGGAAATAACTAATCTTTGGCAGCCATTTTCTCACTAGTTTTACTTCTGAAAACAAGTGACCCCCACCTCCTTCATTTGCAAATATCTCGACTTGTGTTCAAGATAAATGGACATTATTTTCATCCAAATAAAGACAAATGAACAAGCTTTTAGATGATACCAATAACTCTACATGCCCAAAAATTGACGAGAGCTTGATTCCACCACGCTGCCTCACATATGCTTTGTTCTAAGCCATATATTTTGTGTCAATTATGACTGCATAGCCTTGCTTTTTTTCAGATTTTTACTGGCAAGACACAAAGCTGCCATTGAAGTTTACCAGCAAGCAGCTCAGATCAGTGACAAAGACTGGGTAAGGTTGTCCTTGACTTGTATCTGCAACTGCTCATGTAAAATGAATGTTAGAATCAAAATATTAATTTTTTGTATTTAACTTTATCTTCGGCAAGCCGCTCCCAGCGGTTCGCGGTCGGAAATGCTGTGCCATTGAGCCAATGACAGCAGCTCGGGCACATTCCTTAACAACGACTTCAACCTCGAATTACTTTTCGGCAGCTGAAAACAGGCCTCTTATATTGAGATTTCATTCATTAGATAAAGAACTATCAAAATAGGTTCACTTGTTTTGATTTAATGACCAATTTTATTCAGTGACGATTTTTGTCATTTTTAAATTTAGTACCAAAGAAGGGACCGGCATAGTGGGTTTAGGATCTTCAAAACAAACGTGAAGACTGTTCTACTGTATGGTTCAGAGACATGGAGGCTCACAGCATCAGCAGCAAAGAAACTACAGAGCTTCGTAAATGGATGCCTACGAAAGATAGTGGGGATCAAGTGGTACGATCGAGTCACTAATGCTCAACTGTGGGAAAGAACAAGCCAAAGGCCAGTAAAGGAAGATATTCAGGTGAAGAAATGGAAATGGATTGGACACACCCTGAGGAGACCCCCGTCAAGCATCATCAGACAGGCTTTAACGTGGAACCCTCAAGGAAAACGTAAGAAGGGAAGACCAAAGATGACACGGAGGCGAGCAGTACAAGCGGAAATGGAAAAAGCGGGGACATCATGGAAACTGATAGAAAAGGATGCACAGGACAGGCTTCACTGGAGTAATGTTGTTGGTGGCCTATGCTCCACTGGGAGTTAAAAAGGGCAAGAGAGAGATAGTGGGTTGACCCCCCTCAGAGATAAAGAGATAATCTAGCGTGCTAAATTCTAGTATTGTGACCAAGAAAGATGTGCTACCCTTCATGTGGATTTGATATTTGCCATATCTGATAGCAGAACAGTCTTTTTCAAAACAAAAAAACCCGCCTCTTTCATTTTGTTGAAACAACCAGTGTTTACTGGAGTAATACCTGTTTTCTTTCTTAATTAGAACTTAAGACTTAACGAATCCAGGGTTCAAAGGTTTCCAGTTCTATTTTGGTGTCAACGAGGACTATATAACCATGCTACAACATTTCTTTTTCTAGCTAAATGAAAGTTTCTTTCGTGTATTCTTTTTTGCAGGAAGTTTATCATAATCTTGGAGTATGCCATATGTATGTTCGAGAATTTGATAAGGTGAGTACCTTGTGTGGCTTGTTTGTTCATGATTCTTCAGCAATTTTACACATTCATTGAGAGAGGGCCACAGATGTGCAATAGAAATTATCTTTTGTTTACTTCATGCACAATTTCCTTCAATTGTTTCGAGAATATTTTCCCATTTATTGTGATTTGAACATGATCTGTAATATAATCTAAAGAGAAATTCAATCAAAGTATTTACTGACTTAAACATGTTTTAAATCACATTTCAGAAATAGAAATTTCTTTGTGCTTACTTTTATTTCTCTTCAAGTAAAGCCAATATTTATACAAAGGGAATTTTTTTCAATTTATAGGCCTACGCAGTTTTATAAAAAAGTTGAAGTGTTTGAATAGATACTCAAAATAAGCTTTCATTTTTTGCTCTTTTCATTGAAATTCATTTTTAACCTGAAAAGTTCAGTTAGAGACAGCTGTAAAGAATGTCAATGTTTAGAAGAAAGAGAGAAAAGGATAAAGCTGTTAATTCCTCATCCTTTTCTGCTATTTCTATTACAACGGCTAGAATGAAGGAAAGGCTATCTCTACACTCATTTCGATTGCATCCATTTTCAACCCTTGTCGTATGTTCAGGCGAAAGAACTCCTGAGGCAGGCCTTGGGCTTCCGTCGTCATGAGGTCTCCTACATCATGTTGGGCAAGATCTACCTGCTGGAGCGGGACATCAACTCAGCCATTGACATTTATCGCAGCGCTGTCGAGTGAGTTCCTTCTCTTGCTTTTGTGTCCTGCATCACTTTACCTTTGTCTCATAGGAAGTCTATAAATTTGAGCAATTGCTTTACGCAGTTCTGTCTATGCCAGGGGGAAAAAAGATGAAAAATTGTAAATATTTACAGAAACTGTAGTGATTAAATAATGTGACAATGATTGACAATACTCATTAGTTTGACGCAGTAAAAGTTACCAGACTTATTGAGAATAATGCACAATTATTCATCCCATTGAGCTGGATTGCTGGAAAGCATGGGTACTTCAGTTTTCTATAATTGTTGAAAGTATCTATACTATTAATGAAATTGTTGTGTTACTACACTGCATATATTTGATGTGGCTGACTCATGCGGACTTTCCTCTGCTTAACATTTGTGAGGCAGCTTGATGGAATCAGGCTCTCATCAATTTTGGGGCATGTAGAGTTATTGGTATCATGTTAAAGCTTGTTCATTTGCCTTTATTTGGATGCTAAAAATATCCATTTATTTTGAATACGAGTCGAGATATTTGCAAAAGAAGGAGGTGGGGGTCACCTGTTTTCAGAGGTAAAATTAGTGAGAAAATGGCCGCCAAAGATTAGTTATTTCCTTAGCTTAAGAGTCTGTGGTAGCTGGAGATTTACATTTTGTATGCCTTTAATCAACATTTTTCAGAAAAATCCACACAGAAATAAGTTCTTTAATGGGCATGAAAGGTGTTGAGCTGAAAAACAAAAATCTGATAAAAATTCACAAACCTGCGGAAAAATGCAAGTTTCTTCACTTTGATTATTTTGACGAGAGCCTGATTCCACCACGCTGCCTCACAAATATAGTGGGTAATTGACTGCAAAATGTTAACCCTATCCGTACGTCTTTCGGTCATTTTGTACCCCCCGGTTTGTATTCTTCACATTTTGGAATGCTTCTAGTACGAAGATAGTACGAAGATCTCTTTGAATCTTTCAGTATTTCTGGAAATATCATTTTGACAGACTGCTGTGCAAAGCGTACGAATCGGATTAACGAGTAAATTTCCTCTTCTGAAAGTGGTGACACAGAGTTCCCCACGTCGTATGGATACGAAAGTACAACACTACGTATGGATAGGGTTAAGTGGTGGCACAGAGTTCCCCACGTGGTATGGATACGATAGTACAACACAATGTACGGATAGGGTTAATGGATGTCTCCCTTTTTGTGCTTCTTTGCAGATATTCCCCTGAAAATCCTGATCTCCTCACAACCCTGGGTCTCCTGTACATGCAGGTTAGTCCTGGCCTGTTATTACTCTAGTGGAATAGACTTAGTGTGAGTCAGTAATACATAAGTGTGAAACCTTTTTTTTTTTCGGAACTCTTTGCAGTTATGACTTTTTAAATTCTTCAAATCATTTAGAGGTAAAGAAATGGGGGTGTATTTATTCATTGGTCTGTTTGTGTCTATAGGGTGGAGCAAATGGAATTATTATTATTATCATAACTGTCATTATTATTATTATTATTATTATGATTATTATTATTATTATTATTATTGTTAATATTATTATTGTAACTACTATCATTATTATTATTATTATTATCGATTCTATCATTATTATTGTTAGTATTATTATTGTAACTACTATCATTATTGTGGTCTATTTGGTTGTTTACTTTGCAATCTGGCGTGTTGGTCAGTGGCCGGGGGTGAGGCCTAGCCTATTGTATCGTTTGGCTGAAAGTGTGAGAGTGAGTAACGTGTGAGTCTCAGTTCAGTTGTATTGTTTGGTGCAAGTGTATAAAAGTAGTCTGAGTTACTACAGGTGAGACTTTAGAGGGGAGAGCTGTAGCAAGGCAGAGGAGGCCTGCTGAGAGGTCGGGTGGAGATAAGGCTAGTTAGAGCCTCGGTTTATTTCTGTGTTGCGTGTGAGATTCCAACGCATCGGGGGCCCATCGCTGAGGAAAGGATCAGCATCCCGAGAGAAACAGGTTTGGGTAACTCCTGTTGTAGGTGCAGGCAGACAGAAGGTTAGTGTTAAACACTGATTTATGTTCAAGTAACAAAAATTATATTCATGAGTGTCTGATTTTTTATTTTTTTGTCTCCAGTTGAATGTATTAGCCAAGACTCACTAAAAATCGTAAGGGAGTTATGGCTCTGAGCAGGGATCTCTGTATTTTCCTTCTCATATGTACCTGCAGGTCAACCAGTATCAGAAGGCATTTGAAAGCCTGGGGAATGCCATGACCTTCGACCCCAGCCACACCAAAGCCATCATGGCAGCCGGCAGCATGATGCAGAACCATGCAGACTTTGACGTGGCACTCACCAAGTACAGGATCGCGGCCGCCAACACGCCCGAGTCCCCTCCACTGTGGAACAACATCGGCATGTGCTTTTTCGGAAAAAAGAAATATGTGGCAGTGAGTTTGCTTGTGGGTGGTTGGCGGATGCTCTGGTGTGGCTTGCTTCTTCTTTCCTATCACACATCTATCGTCCTCATCGCCCCCTCCTTTTTTTATGTTTGTTACTCTCTTGTAACACCTCTAATCTTCTGGCGTTCGTATGACCTTATGCAGTTGCGAGCGCCGAAAAACCTCTACTAAAACAAACAAAACAAGTGAGTTTGCTTTGTTTTTGTGTTTTTGATTGTCCTAAGTTCTTCTATCCTCAGCATGTAACCTTTGATAATTTGCTCGTCTTGCTGCCTCTTCACTGACTATTTAGAATTTAGAATGTCTTTTTCAAAGTGCTGTCCACCCTTTAATTGTACTTGAATTTTAATGAGGGTTGACAATATTCATGAAAATGAATTGTAGATTGATGAAATGTCAATATGGAGGCCTGTTATATATAATAATAAATCTGTGTGTTATAAACTGACCGTTTGTTTTCTCAGGCCATAAGCTGTCTGAAGAGGGCCAACTACTTGGCCCCTTTTGACTGGAAGATCTTGTACAATCTGGGCCTAGTCCACCTGACCATGCAGCAGTATGCCTCGGCGTTCCACTTTATCTCCGCTGCCATCAACCTCAAGTCCGATTCTGCACAGCTGTACATGTTGTTGGCTGGTAGGTTTTGTGCAAAAGTATGCAATTATGTGTACATCTACCTTTGTGTGTGTGTATATATATAATATATGCTTATTTATTCGTACATTTGTCTTTATGTATGTGCACGTGCACTTGTGTGTTTTAGTTGTACTGCTTGTACTGCTTTTCTTCATTAAAATGTTCTGTTCTGTTTCTAACCGACCTGTTATACATCTGTGTGTTAATATAATAGCTTGCTCACAGTGCAGTCCAAAAAGTGAGTACTGCTTCGTTCATTTTCCGTGCCGAGCACAATATAATTTACTTACCCAACAAAATTAAACGAAACAAAATACAGAAAGTATGAAATATTCAGATGAATTCGAAGTAACTGAAGTATTTAAGTTAGAAAGTGAATTTGAACATACAATAGAAGCCTGAACTGTGTTTGAACAGACAGTACATTTTTTAAACCAATAACTAAACTTTATGTTTTGTATGCTATTGTACTGGTACAATACTATAAATGATTCGTTTCTTCTAAAAGTGCGGCCAAATTCAGATGGCATTCATTACAGACATTTTCTTTGTTCAATTATTCTCAGTGACGCTCACTCATCTGGATGACGTTGACAATGCAGAGCAATCGTACGAGCATGCTCTCAAAATGGATGAGTAAGTTTTTGGGAAATTTAATACAACTGCATTTAATTTCAAAGTAATTTTAGGATCCAGCCCATGTCAATGCTAGACGTCTTCTCCCTATCTTTACAATTTGTTGAGCATTAACCGTTATCTTTGGTTCAGTATGATTTATATGAAGTTCGGAAATAAATTTGGTTAACAGAAGATATTAATTAAAGCAAATTTGTTTCAAATGCAAGGATGTGTTTATCCTCCCCAAAAAGTGCACATTACAACTATTGATAATATTAAGACATCTTAAACATTTTCTGTTCCTACAGGCCTATCCTTAATAAGCTTTTAACGTTATCTTTCATTATATTTGTTCTGTTCCTATGTCTGGATGAAAATAGTCTCTGTGTGTGTGTGTGTGTGTGTGTATGTATGTGTGTGTGTGTGCATTAATGTATATTGCATGAGAAGAAAGGAAGTAGTAAGAAAGGTTTTTGAAAAATGGGTATTCCAATGTAAAGCGCATTGAGCTACTTTTTTGAAAATGCGCTATATAAATGTTATATATTATTATTATTATTATTATTATTATTATTATTATTATTATTATTATTATTATTATTATTATTATTATTATAAAAATGTGTGTTTGTCTGAGGTGCTCAATAAGAGTGCCTCTCTACTAATGTAGTGCATTTGTAGTTTTATTATTAGAGACAAAGGAACATTTCAAGACTTTGGGATCTGCTGAAGATGAAGTATTTATTCGTTGATTTTTCAATAAATGAATTGTAAACAAAGTAGAGATTTGTAAACATCGTTACTATTTGAGTACTGTTGTGTAGAAACTACCATCAAATTTTGTAGGGTATATGTGAGGCAGCGTGGTGAATCAGGCTCTCGTCAATTTTTGGACATATTGAGTTATTGGTATCATCTTAAAGCTTGTTCATTTGTCTTGCTGTCAATGAAAAAATTACCCTTCCATCGTCAATAGAAGAGGAGATATTTTGGATTGAAGGAGGAGGGGGTCATCTGGTTTAAGAGGTAAAATTAGCGAAAAAATGGCCACCAAAGCTTGGTAAATTCCAAAGCTGGAGAGTCCATGGAAACTGTAAATTTAAATTTTTTTGCCTTTAATTAATTTTTCGGTGAAATCCTCAAAGGAATGTGTTTGTAAATGGACATAAAAGGTGTTAAGCCAAAAAACAAAAATTTGATAAAAATTGCTAAGCAGGGAAAAAGCTGCTGTTTTCTTCGATTTCATTATTTTGACGGGAGCCTGATTCCACCACGCTGCTTCACATATACATGATGAAGGGTAGACTCGCCAACAAGTAAATCTTTGTTTCTTTTGATTGTTTCTGAAGAAAAGGGAATAAAGCTAAAAGACACAACACCTCTCTTCCTTTTCTCTGGAGCTGCTGTTATATTAGTGAACATTTGCTGCATGTTGTCTTTTAATTTTTAACAGTAGTGCTCACCATCACTTTTGTGTTACAAAAATCTGTCATGAGCTGCAAGTATCGCCTCTGACTCGCTCACCAAACCAAAAGTTTTTTGGGTTTTTTTTATAAGACATGACCCAGAAAAGACAAGAAACAAAACATACTGAAACAAAATAAGCTATGTTGCTAGTATTGTGTGAATTTACGACACAATAAGTGTGCTGTCTTCCTCAGAAAGGACCCTGCTATTTTCCTGAACTACGGCATTTTGCTGTGCAACAAAGGGGACTGCCGCAAGGCTGCCAACTACCTCTCCCGCTATGAAGCTATCGCGGCTGCCCAGAAAAATGCTGGTAGAGAAGTGGATCCTGAGGTAAAAATAACGCACTTTGAAACTGTGTTCCTCCCCTTTCCACCTTTCTTTTTTCTCCTTGAGGTATTTCTCCATTCATCTTTTGTCTGTCCTTTGTGCTTCTGCAGCATGAAATGATTAAATGTGAGGCAGCGTGGTGGAATCAGGCTCTCATCAATTTTTAGGCATGTAGAGTTATTGGTATCATCTGAAATCTTATTCACTAGTCTTTATTTGGATGAAAAAAATGTCCATTTATCTTGAACACAAGTGAAGATATTGGCTATTGGCGAATGAAGGAGGTGGGGGTCACCTGTTTTCAGAGGTAAAATTATCGAGAGAATGGCCACCAAAGGTTGGTTATTTCTTTAGCTTAAGAGTCCATGGTGACTGAAAATTTACATTTTGTGTGCCTTTAATCAACGTTTTTCAGAAAAATCCACACAGAAATGAGTTCTTTAGTGGGCATGAAAGGTGATGAGCGAAAAAACAAAAATTAGATAAAAATTCGCAAACCTTCGGAAAAATGCAGGTTTTTTCACTTTGATTATTTTGAGGAGAGCCTGATTCCACCACGCTGCCTCACATGTGGTGCCTTTGGTGCCTGTGGTGTGATGGTTTGCCTCTTCACTGTTGCATGCAAATGAACAGGGGTTTGCTTCTCAGTGGGGAAGTCAATTGAACTGAGTCTCTCAGCCTATATATTAGGATTCTGCTCATGTAGATATTCTGTTATTGTGGAGAAGTTCATTCATCTGTGTGTGTGTGTGTGTGTGTGTGTGTGTGCGCGTGTGTGTGTGTGTGTGTGTGTGTGTGTGTGTGTATGTGTGCATGTGTGTGTGTGTGTGTGTGTGTGTGTGTGTGCGTGTGTGTGTGTGTGTGCATGCGTGTTACATGTTGTTGTTGTTGTTAGCGATCCAGTCGCGTGTTACATGTAGCTCTAGATTATTTTCATCCATCAGAGGAGTGATGAAGTTGCCTGATATATCGTTTTCTGTCACATATGTGAAAGGGTGGAGAGTTGAACTGGTTGGTGATGTTTCTTTACTCGCTCTAATTTTTTTTTTTCTGATTCTGTTTTGCTGTTTTCCTACACTGAGCGACTTTTATTGTGTCGCTGTTCCAATGTGCTGGAATATTATCTCATGTTGTTGTTGTTTTCAAATCCCTTTAGCTGCGAGCATTTCGCTCTACATTATCTCATCACACTATCATCTGACTCTAGCTGATGGAGCTGGCTGCTCAGCTGGGCCCCCTGATCCAGATGGGAGACATGCCTGCTAGCCGACCTCAGGTAGAATCCAGCCTTCCTCCTCCTGTGCAGTCATCAGTACCTCCTTCGAGGACCATTCCTGGTGGAGGGGAGGACATCTACAGCACCGTGAATCGGAGCAGCAGCTATGTAGACAGAAGTGAGTTCATGTACTTTGAATCTGTGTGTTTTTGTTCGGAACATTTCGTTTAACGATGCACTTTCTTTGAGATAAGCACGCCAAATATGATAGCAGTCTTGCACTTTTTGCAGAAAATGCAGGCTTATAAGATACTCAGCTTTTCCATTGAACAAAAAGCTCTGAAGATTTTGTACTATTTGTGAAGTTGAGGTGCGAAAGTAGAACGTTACGTTTGCAATAGTTAATTCACAGGGCACTGATCTTGCACGTTTGTTTTTGATGTAGTAAAATGATACTATTGCAAATCTAATTTTGTGTACTGACCCTGCCTCTGGAAATGTGAGTGGTTGGTGGGTGGTCTGGTATGGTTTGCTCCTTCTTTCCTGTCAAACACCTATCATCCTTATCTCCCCTCCTTCTTTTTTTCGGTTTGTTACTTTCCTGTAACTCCTCTAATCTTCGGCACTTCTATGACCTTATTGTGTTGCAAGTGCCGTAAAACACTTACTAAAACAAACTGCCTCTGAAAAAGCCGAATGCTGTCCTTCCGAGAGACCACAGAAGTTGCTTGTTGTTTGAGCCAACATTACATTACATACCATTGTTGAGGAACATGAGTACACTATATTTTTTTGCCTACAAGTGTGTGAATAAAAATATCCATGTGTGAGTGTATGTGTGAAAGACGTGGAGAGAGAGAGAGGGGGGGGGGGGGAGAGAGAGAGAGAGAGAGAGAGAGAGGGGGGGGGGGGGGGGGGGAGAGACACTTTTTGCTTCTTACTTCTTACGTCCGATGTATAGATATATATGTGAGGCAGCGTGGTGGAATCAGGCTCTCGTCAAAATAAGCAATGTGAAGAAACTTGCATTTTTCCGCAGATTTGTGAATTTTTATCAAATTTTTTTTTTAGCTCTACACCTTTCATGCCCATTAAAGAACTCATTTCTGAGGGATTTGTCTTAAAAACGTTGATTAAAGGCACAAAAAAATGCAAATTTTCAGTTACCACGGACTCTTAAGCTAAGGAAATTACCAATCTTTGGCGGCCATTTTCTCACTAATTTTACCTCTGAAAACAGGAGACCCTAAATCCTTCTTTCGCAAATATTTCGACTTGTAATCAAGATAAATGGACATTTTTTTTATTGACATAAAGACAAATGAAGAAGCTTTAAGATGACACCAATAACTCAACAATTGACAAGCGCCTGATTCCACCACACTGCCTCTCATATGCTTTTTCTGTTTCGAGTTAACATATCTTCAATCGTCTAAAGTGATTAACTAAGCTCTTTCTTCTTGTATTCCTCCCAGATATTGCAATCCTTTTTTACAACATATTTAACCCTCCACTTGCAGCTGGAGAGGATATTTTCTGTCTGCCGGTGTGAGATTGTTTTCACAGAGGGTTTATTAACTAAGCTCTCTCTTGTCATATTTTGTGTTATATTGTAGTCCTTTTTTTTATATTCCATAAATCTGAGCAAAGAAAAGAATGGTGAATCATGATAGCTGATGTGTGTCTCAGATCCGGCACTTGATGATGATGAGGATGATGATGATGATGATGATGATAAATATTTCCTCTTGCAGCTCGAAGTGATCTCTTCTCCCCGGAGCCCAGCAACATGACAGGCCCTGCCTCACAGGCCTCCCCAGCCCACCAGCGACAGCCCGGCCAGATGATGGGCTCCCACACAGAGGAGGAGCCAGACATGATGGCGGACACTCCACTACGCTCCTCCCTCCCCCCTCCACCCTCACCAGGACCTGGCACGGAGGAGCAGACCGGGGAGGACATGGGGATCGTGGCGCCTCCTCCGCAGTATGGAAACACGGCAAGCCCTTCCTCTCCCAAAACTCCGGGATCGGGTGGACTTGGCAAGCTAGCTCCGTTGGCTCCACTGGCTCCTCTAGGTGAGTGATTCATGGAGGGGGAAGTTTTACAGGTGTTTAACACTTTGCAGTCATACAGCCAGCCGTACAAAATACCCCATCTGGTCACCCAGTACAAAATACCCCATCTGGTCACCCAGCCAACAGTACAAAATACCCATCTGGTCACCCAGTACAAAATACCCATCTGGTCACCCAGTACAAAATACCCATCTGGTCACCCAGTACAAAATACCCATCTGGTCACCCAGTACAAAATACCCATCTGGTCACCCAGTACAAAATACCCCATCTGGTCACCCAGTACAAAATACCTCATCTGGTCACCCAGCCAGCAGTACAAAATATCCCATCTGGTCACCTAGCCAGCAGTACAAAATATCCCATCTGGTCACCTAGCCAGCAGTACAAAATACCCATCTGGTCACCTAGCCAGCAGTACAAAATATCCCATCTGGTCACCCAGCCAGCAGTACAAAATATCCCATCTGGTCACCTAGCCAGCAGTACAAAATATCCCATCTGGTCACCCAGTACAAAATACCCCATCTGGTCACCCAGTACAAAATACCCCATCTGGTCACCCAGCCAGCAGTACAAAATATCCCATCTGGTCACCCAGCCAGGAGAGCGACTGCAATGAACTACTCGGGTCTGGCACAAAAGTGCGCCAGGTGACCCGAACGGATCATTTTTACCGGCACATTATTGCCCCAAGTGACTGCAAAGTGTTAATCTTCCAAATTTGACAGCAAATAACAGGATGCTTACTGCCCAAGTTAGATGCATGACACATGTGTCAAAGAAGGCTCCCCCCCCCGGGCAGTGCCACTGACTGAAGTGTCTTTAGACCATTCCCAAAGGGGGGACATTTCTCAATCAAGCATAGTAGAATTGTAAATGGGCTGATTCATCATGTCACGCTTGTAACTGTGCCTGATCTACAACGGGGAACTGCTGCTTTTTCTTTCTTGATCCTTGCTATTGTCCTTTTCTTCTACTTCTTTTGTATGTTTGTCACTCTCTTGTGACCTGCTGTTTCCGGGGTGCCTTGATAGTCGAAGCAGACCTTGTGCTGTTGAAGCTAGAGAGGTGAGCAGAGTAAGTCTGATTCCCTGTAAAGACTTCTCTGTTGACACCCACCCCCTGGCACTCATATGACCTTATGCAGTTGCGAGCGCCGTAAAACCCTCAACTAAAAAAAAAAAAAAAAAAAGAAGGCTCACCCTATTCAATTCTTGACTTTGGTGTCATCAGCTGGTAAATTTTGCTTTTTCTCAGATTTGTCGTTCACCTCACCCTGAATTAAAAAGTGAAAATGAAAAGGAGTGTTCTTTGATTAGAACATTAAAAGATGTGAAGGTCCTGTGTGTGTAACATTTGTGAGGCAGCGTGGTGGAATCAGGCTCTCGTCAAAATAATGAAATCGAAGAAAACAGCAGTTTTCTCCCTGCTTAGCAATTTTTATCAAATTTTTTATCAACAACTTTTATGTCCACTACAAACACATTCCTTTGAGGAATTCACCGAAAACGTTGATTAGAGGCGCAAAAATATAGATTTACAGTTTCCATGGACTCTCCAGCTTTGGAATTTACCAAGTTTTGGCGGCCATTTTCTTGCTAATTTTACCTCTTAAACCAGGTGACCCCCACCTCCTCCAATCCAAAATATCTCCACTTCTGTTGAAGATGGAAGGGTAATTTTTTTCATTGAAAGCAAAACAAATGAACAAGCTTTAAGATGATACCAATAACTCAATATGCCCAAACATTGACGAGAGCCTGATTCCACCACGCTGCCTCACATTTCTGTTTGAGACACTGGACATTCAGTCCAATTATTCGATATAGTACATTTCTCAAAGCAGGTTAAAAGTTGTCATGAGTGGGAGAGCCTTTTCTACTTTGTTTAAAACCAATGTTATGTTTTGTTTAAAACCAATATTATGTTTTGTTTTAAACCAATATTATGTTTTGTTTTTGAAGAGATTGAAAGTCTTGTTTTCCAAACTAGGAAAGTAACTGTGATTGCTCTTTGTACTTGGCAACAAGAGAGCTTCAATTAGCTGGTTAGGAACATTTGATGAAGATAACATAGAAACTGTTGGTCCAAAGTCTCGACATGTATGGTTTATTGTTTACAAAAAACTGCTCTCTCTCTCTCTCTCTCTCTCTCTCTCTCTCTCTCTCTCTCTCTCTCTCTCTCTCTCTATCGCTCTCTCTCTCTCTCTTTATCTCTCTCTCTCTCTCTCTCTTTATCTCTCTCTCTCTCTCTATCTCTCTCTCTCTCTCTCTCTCTCTCTCTCTCTCTCTCTCTCTGAGGCAGTACCTACAGACTTAAATGGTGCTCACAGCCGAACTCTCCGTATCCCGGACTCTAGCATGGAGATCATCAGGAGAGAATTGTCGCTGTTTCGGGCTCTTCCTCTCTACAGCTTTTCTGACGCACCGTAAGTCATTGACAAGTCATTCTTTTTTGTATGTTAAGAAAAGAGCAATTGATTTTAGATTCTGTGAAAATCTCAATTGTTTCTTTCCTGTACAGGTGGGTCTCCTGGCTCTTCTCGGTCTGGCTCCGGTTTCCATGGTGCCAAACTTCCCAGTATCGACCAGGCCCCTCTCCCACCCACTCACTTACCCGAAGACGATGATGATGAGATAGAGGAGGCTTTGGAAGGTGGTGGCGGTCGTAGCAAACAGCCAGCTTTTGCTATGTGAATGTATTCCATTTAGTGACTAAATTCTTGCTCCACATTTTATTTCTTCCGTAGACAATTCTTTTGTTGAGGTATTTTTGTCCAAGACGGTGGTGCAAACTGTTTGCGATAGTGTCCTAATTATGAGTGCTTGTACATGTTCTTGTTACATAAACATTTGTGAGGCAGCGTGGTGGAATCAGGCTCTCGTCAAAATAATCAAAGTGAAGAAACTTGCATTTTTCCGCTGGTTTGTGAATTTTTATCGAATTTTTGTTTTTGGCTCCTCACCTTTCATGCCCATTAAAGAACTCATTTCTGTGTGGATTTTACTGTAAAAAGTTCATTAAAAGCACAAAAAATGGACATTTTCAGTTACCACGGACTCTTAAGCTAAGGAAATAACTAATCTTTGGCGGCCATTTTCTCACTAACTTTTCCTCTGAAAACAGGTGACCCCCACCTCCTTCTTTCGTAAATATCTCGACTTGTATTCAAGATAAATGGATATTTTTTTCCTCCAAATAAAGACAAGTGAACAAGCTTTAAGATGATACCAATAACTCTACATGCCCAAAAATTGACGAGAGCCTGATTCCACGAACGCTACCTCACATTCTATACTGTGAGCATTGCTGACGTAAAAGCATGGTTGAGGCTAGTTGGACAAGACACAGTTTTTCTTTTTGTGTGAAAAAGTTCCTAGATTATGAAGGTTTCAAATATATGTCTCATAAATGCCAGTTTACTGCACACTTTAGTAATCAACATTATTGAATGATGGGATTGTACATAAATACATTATCCTACTTAGTTTTACCTGCACTCACTTTCCTGAAGGAAACTAAAAGCCCTCTCTCTCTCTTCTGGCGTTGTGGCTTCATAAACGGTCAGCGGTGCGGACAGCATGCAGGAATTCAACACTCGCCCCGGGGTCCTTAAAAAGTGCTGAAAGTGGGTTACTGAAATGTCCAAGCAGATGGGTTCTAGCACGATAGCTGGCGGGACATCTCAGGAACACATGGTCCATAGATTGTGCCCTGATTGTGTGAGCATCGTCCAACAGCAAATATCACACAAAAAAAGAAATCTAAACCCATTTACGTATGATTCTCTTTCATTTTGAGGCTACTGTCAGTGATGATGATGGGTTAGGTACCGGTTATGGGAAATTATTTTACTGAAGTGGAATGGGAAGGGGGGGTGGGGGGGGGGGGGGCAGTAAAATCAATGTGTGAAATTAATATATGTGAGGCAGCGTGGTGGTATCAGGCTCTCGTCAAAATAATAAAAATCGAAGGAAACAGCAGTTTTCTTCCTGCTTAGCAATTTTTATCAAATTTTTGTTTTTTGACTCAACACCTTTTATGTCCATTTATAAACACATTACTTTGAGGATTTCACCGAAAACGTTGATTAAAGGCACAAAAATATAAATTTACAGTTTCCATGGACTCTCCAGCTTTGGAATTTACCAAGTTTTGGCGGCCATTTTCTCGCTAATTTTACATCTTAAATCAGGTGACCTCCACCTCCTTCAATCCAAAATATCTCGACTTCTATTGAAGATGGAAGGGTAATTTTTTCATTGAAAGCAAGACAAATGAACAAGCTTTAAGATGATACCAATAACTCAATATGCTCAAAAATTGACGAGAGCCTGATTCCACCACGCTGCCTCACATATTTCATACCAGGACTTGTTTCTTATCATTTTAAAACTTGATGTGTATCCTGTTTTCTTGTTACAACTAGCAGTCATAATTGTCTGTGATAAGCTGACATTGTTCTCTTTGTGATTTGAGTTAGTTGGTGGCATGTTGTACTTATTGAAAATAAATTAAAACTGTTTGAAATGAAAGAACTATCTTCTCTATGGAGGATGAGCATATTAATAAAAATACTGTTCTTAAATTTCCAACTGTAGCCACTTTGTTTGTGTTGATGTTACAGATGTCAATGATAGGATGGGATGGATGAGGTGGCTCGTTTGCGCTATGATGTGATCTGCTCCTTCTTCTTTCTCTGAATGTTTCTATTTTTCAAAGCCAAGCTTGATTTTTGAAATATTTTTTGTAAGTTTTTACTTTGCTCGCAACTGCATAAGATATATGTGAGGCAGCGTGGTGGAATCAGGCTCTCGTCAATTTTTGGGAACATCGAGTTATTGGTATCATCTTAAAGCTTGTTCACTTGTCTTTATTTGGATGGAAAAAAATATCCGTTTATCTTAAATACATGTCGAGATATTTGAGAATGAAGGATGTGGGGGTCACCTGTTTTCAGAGGTAAAATTAGTGAAAAAATGGCCGTCAAAGATTAGTTATTTCCTTAGCTTAAAGAGTCCCTGGTAACTAAAAATTTACATCTTTTGTACCTTTAGTCAACGTTTTTCAGAAAAATCCACACAGAAACGAGTTCTTTAATGGGTATGAAAGGTGTTGAGCCCAAAAACAAAATTTTGAAAAAAATTCACAAACCTGTTGAAAAATGAGGCAGCGTGGTGGAATCAGGCTCTCGTCAAAATAATCAAAGTGAAGAAACTTGCATTTTTCCGCAGGTTTGTGTATTTTTATTTTAAAAATTATTTTTGGCTCAACACCTTTCATGCCTATTAAAGAACTCATTTCTGTGTGGATTTTTCTGAAAAACGTTGATTAAAGGTGCAAAAAATGAAAATTTTCAGTTACCACAGACTCTTCTTAAACTAAGGAATTAACTAATTATTGGCGGCTATTTTCTCATTAATTTTACCTCTGGAAACAGGTGACCCCCACCTCATTCTTTCGCAAATATCTCGAATTGTATTCAAGATAAATGGATATATTTTTCATCCAACTAAAGACAAGTGAACAAGCTTTAAGATGATACCAATAACTCTACCTGCCCAAAAATTGACGAGAGCCTGATTCCAGCACGCTGCCTCACATTTGCTCATCTGTGTGCATACACTTCTCGTCTGGTTTTCCTTGCCACAAACTTATCAAGAGAAAGGCAGACATGTTGCTCCTTTCCTTTGTAGTGAACTGACAACATAGTCAGGGCATTGTCCTGTCTTGGCTGTCTGGGGGGTTTTTTGGCTTTTTTTTTGGGGGGGGGGGGGAGTGTTTTACGGCGCTCGCAAATGCATAAAGTCAATGAGCACACGGGACACACCGAACATTTTCAATTGGTAGGAAATGTTGATTTTTGTTTGGGAGGCGGCCGAAGCCTATTTTAGATCCCCAAGGGATCTTTGACGTTCGCAACTTGCACACGGGCCCTCCGAGATTTTTCACCCATCATTTTACCAGAAGATCAGGGGTGTGGCTGAAAGACAGCAGTAAGAAGGAGCCAAGAAGTAGCAGTAGAAAGGCTGTAGAAAGAGTCAGAAGCCCAGTGGAAGGGGCAAAGGAGGTGAGGGGGTGGGGGAAGAAAGTGGAGACGAAAGCATTCGACAGAATATTAAAAGAGAGATAGAAAGAAGGTGAAAGGATACAATATCAGATAAGAAAATGTTTCCGTCGCTACCCGGATTCGAACCCGGGACCTTTGAATGGGAGGCGAACACCTTAACCTCCTACCACTAGCACATAGCATGTCATTTTGAAATTGTTCTATTTGGAACTTACTTGACCCAGTGTGCGCAACCCGGGGTCGTTACACTCCTCAGTATGGGCACTCGTGGGGTCCGTGACTTCCTACACGAAAGACGTCTTTTACTTAGGCTATTCTAAAAATAGGGGGTGGGGAGGGGGTCGAAATACCTTTCAACATCAGGGTCTTGGTGATTTTTTGTTTTTGTAAAGTGTTTTACGGCGCTCGCAACTGCATAAGGTCATATGAGCGCGTGGGACACACCTAATATTATCAGTTGGTAGGAAAATTAGAATTTTGCCCGGGTGGCGGCCGAAGCCTACTCTTACCGATTTTAGACCACCAAGGGATCTTTAACGTGCGCAACTAGCACACGGGCCCTCCGAGATTTTTCGCCCTTGTCCGAGAAGTCTAGGTGTAGATCTTTCCTACCAGAAGATCAGGGGTGTGGCAGAAAGACAGCAGTAAGGAGGAGCCAAGGAGTAGCAGTAGAAAGGCTGAAGAAAGAGTCAGGAGCCCAGAGGAGGGGGCAAAGGAGGTGAGGGGGTGGGGGCAGAAAGACGAAAGCAGACAACAGAACATTGCTAGAGAGCAGGAAATGAGGTGAAAGGAGACAAATTTAGAGAAGAAAATGTTTCGGTCGCTACCCGGATTCGAACCCGGGACCTTTGAATGAGAAGCCAACACCTTAACCTCTAGGCCACGAGAGCCCCCCGGTCTTGGTGAGAAATGCCTCAAATAATAATAATAATAATAATAATCTTACTAGAATAATAATAATAATAATAATGTTTACTCCTCATGGGATTCAGACCGTGATATCGCTAACAAGGGCCTCTCTGACTGGGAAACTCACAAAGGAGACCCTGATTGGAAACGTTGCCGCATGTAGGTCCACTGACCCTGATTGGGAATGTTGCCACATGTAGGCCCACTGACCCTGATTGGGAATGTTGCCACATGTAGGCCCACTGACCCTGATTGGGAATGTTGCCACAGGTAGGTCCACTGACCCTGATTGGGGATGTTGCCACATGTAGGCCCACTGACCCTGATTGGGAATGTTGCCGCATGTAGGCCCACTGACCCTGATTGGAAATGTTGCCACAGGTAGGTCCACTGACCCTGATTGGGAATGTTGCCACATGTAGACCCACTGACCCTGATTGGAAATGTTGCCACAGGTAGGTCCACTGACCCTGATTGGAAATGTTGCCACAGGTAGGTCCACTGACCCTGATTGGAAATGTTGCCACAGGTAGGTCCACTGACCCTGATTGGGAATGTTGCCACATGTAGGCCCACTGACCCTGATTGGGAACGTTGCCACAGGTAGGCCCACTGACCCTGATTGGGAACGTGGCCACAGGTAGGTCCACTGACCCTGATTGGGAACGTGGCCACAGGTAGGCCCACTGCTATAATGATAGCGTTACGTTCCTATCGTCATAATGTTATAGATTGTTCCGACGGCAGACTGGTCCCGC